CAGCTATTCATGCAATGCAGATTGGATAGAAGAGCATAAACTAATGCGTTCTAACAATCATTATCAAGGGCACCATGTTGATACAGGGAATATTAATTAAACAGTAAGTGAGGGAAATAGTCAAGATAACAAACCCCGAAAACAGAATAGGTGGCGACACCATCTCCTAAAACCCGTTGGCATTCGCTTTTGAGTAGCGTGAAGTCCTCCCCTTTCTTGGACTGATTAGCTTCACCAGTAGAAATCTCCGGTCTCTCAGTCTTCTCACTCGCTAATTCACGCTTCAACAGCACAGATAACGGGATCGTGTGATGATCACCTTTATCGGCCGACATTTTCTTAGAAAATCCAGATTCAAATCGTTCAACTCTGCCCTAGCTTTGAAACTTAAGCTTTTCCAGTTCTACCTTCGCATATTCCGTCATATGATATAGTCGATAATCCTGCAACGCCAAATATAAAAGATTCACAACAATCAAACATCATGAAACGACCGGAGAGTGCCGGAAAAGAAATACTAGAATAAACATGAGAATCAAAATCAGCATCACGTATGCTTAGATAAAAAAATTCAAATAAATGATCATTTTCAGTGATTCGATCATGACGAATAACAGTTATACATGTAATTAAAACCTAAACGAAAAATCAATGCGGATGATCCACAAGTAAACTTCAGCAAAAATATCGATTCGACTACGAAAAGCAATTATATGTAAACAAAAAAACTATAGCTAAAATATATTAAAATAATGAAAGAGGAGACATACTTACAGAAATTACTTGATAATGACGAAAAGCTAGTAGCAAGTTCGGTTAATGGATTTGAGTTTATATTTACAGAAACAGAAAACCAAAATCTAATAATCTTCGGAAGCCGATTGGATTCGTTTTGCTAAAAAATTCCGCGAGAGAAAGGGGTAAAGATGAAGTGTTGTGGTCTCTTTATATTTGGATTTTCACTTTATTTTTATTTTTATTGTTTTTGTTCTTCATCATGTGCGATCGTGTGCTGACATGTCCATACACACAAAACGCGCACCGATTCCTGGTTTAAAAAGCCGACTTCAGTATGAGCTGTAACTGTTCCTTTTAATATATTTAAAAACAATAAATCGGCATGATTTAAAAAAGTATATATTATTATTAAATGAAAATCGATATAGCTATATTATATAAACGAAAATATACTTTTTGATTTATTCAGTGAATCAATTTTTATTTTTCATCTGGTTTATACCTTAACTTGTTTAAACATATACACGTTTAGTTTTTATGACCGAATACTCAGACGAATCGGGAAAATTAACTTAATATAATAATATTTTTTTACTTTGTACATCTTTAGTTTTTATATTTTTTTTGTTGCAAAATAATTTTTTGTTGTTTCTTATACACATTCTATATCTATAACTGGTTTATTTAGGTTTTACTAACGATATCCTATGTAGGACAATTATTAATGAAGTGTTCGAGTCGATTGAAGCTTATGATCACTATGACATTGGCTGCTTGGTTGCTTAGGTATTGTGGTTTGATTTAGATCTTATATTCTGAATGTTGTAACTTTTTCATACGATCTCGGATTTTAACGATGTGTATATCCACGTGTTCGTATTTTAATCTGCTACAACTTTAGTTTAGATTAATCTCGTTCAAAGTAATATATTTTTACTTACAGTCTTTATATCGGGAATTCATATATGAACATTTTTTATAAACTCGTAACTAAAAATATATTACTTTATAACGCTAATAATCGGCGTAATCCAAAGTAATATATTTTTACTTATGATCTTAATATCCATATGTTATTTATTATTCGTTGAACTGCCAATAATAAATGTTCATATGAAGAAGTTACAACGTTCAAAATACAAGACCTAAACAACCAAGCAGACGAGACCATGGTGGCCATAAGTATCAACAACCCTACACACCCCATTAATGATTATCCCACATAGGCTGTCGTGAGCAAAACTTGAAAAATCGGCCATAAATATTGAATGTGTACTATAACTGTTGAATTAAGGTGTCTAAACCCATAACTAAATTGGTATGACTTTTAATTATAAGCAAAATTCTTTTGGACTGTTCTTATAACTAGTAACTGAATATAATGACATTTTGTGAGAGAGGTTGATTTATTGATTTATTATATGATTGATAAATTGTAACATATGATTTGTTAATATATTATATGACTAATATATTAATTAGAAATAGTATTAATTAATTAAGAATTAATTGTAAATTAATTGGAATTAATTAAAGATGCAATGGGTGAATTGTGATTTTTCTTGGCTCCGGCTCACAATTCCAAAAATGACAATATTAGCCCCTCTCGGCTACAAGTCTTACACTTTAAGAACTAAAATGTAATAAATCTCAATATAAGGGTCAAAAATGAAAGTGCCTCCAAACAAGATGTTACATTCCTAAAGTTTCTAAAACAACACAAGCTAAGCATTTTGTTAGCAAAATTCTACATTCCATCTCAAAACACCAAAAATAAACTTTGATTAACAAGATTTACGATTCATCTCAAAACAATAAAAAAGGTTAAAAAAAATTAAAAAAAAAAAAAAAAATCGGATAACACACAACATAATATGCAAGTATACAACTACTTTGACCCTTGATCATCTTAATAAGTCCACCTCAACAACATTTGATGGCTAATACATCAGACTCATGGATGGTACCATAAAGGAAACTACCAACCAAATTTGTCTCTAAATCAATGTATAAGGAAAACCAATAAGCATTATATATAGTATACATGAAGGGTTGTTAACAAAATAGAGTATAGTAGGTATGTGTGTGTGTGTTCCTGATAACTCATCTTACTCCAAAGTTAACAAATGTGACAACCCAAAATTTCTATCTTGTACAGTAAATCAATTCAATCAAAGTCAGACTTGTTTCTGCTATCTTTTAGCATTGTTTAGAGTCTATTTGAGTGTTCTAAGCCTAGTATATTCAAGAATCAGGTGTTAGGAAGTATCTACTTGAGATCATTATGCCCTAATCAAACTTTAAACCCATTATGGGGAGTTTACGGCTAGAGTTTACGGCCAAACATTCATGTTTGTGCCGTAAACTCATGTGGTGGCCGTGAACTCATGTTTAATACATGAGTTCACATCATTTTCCTCATTTCTGTTCCATTTCAAGGCTAGAAACCCAATTTTTCTCTCAAGTATCATAAGATCTTCATCTTGATCTTCCAAAAATATAAGAATTCTTTCTCTTGATTTGTTGTTACGTCCCTTTATCTAGTGATTGTGCATGATTTCATCCATGAAATCTCTTTCTTTTAATAGATCTTCAAGTGTTCTTCATTTCACCAAGAACACACAATAGTGTTCTTGGACCTTAAACACCCTTACAAGCTTCTTATAAGTAAGTACACTACCCTTAGCTTGTTATATGCTTGAATCACCTGTTAAACACTTAGAAAACATCAAGAAACTCAAGAACAAAAGTTGTTTACGGCCAAGGCAATCTCCTTGGGTCGTAACCCCTAATTTGTGGTGCAATTGTGCCACAACTCCTTCCTAAGCCCTGGATTTGTGTCTAGAACCCTTCCAAGAGGACCATAGGACCTTAAACACAAAAATGGTACAAATTACCATGTGTTTACAGCCGTAAACTTTTTGGGCCATAAACCCATGGTCGTGAACTCATGGGGGATTACCATTTGGGCCGAAAACTCCTAAGTGAGGCCATATACCCCTTAGATGCAACCCTTTATACTCCTAGCACTTGAATCAAAGTGTTTTCCATGTCCTAGGATGTCTATACTTGCTTAATTATTTGTTTAAACACTAATTAGATACATATATGTGTCATTATATGCTATTTAGGATCCATTATGTTCAAGTCTTCACTTGACACTTAGCATCCTTTGTCGATCTTACATTCGAGTAATTGACTACAGGTGAGTTTATACCCTTTAGCTTATCTTTTAAATGCTTTTAAATACTTTTATGGGGGGGGGGGGGGAGATACAAGTAGAAAACATGTTAGTTATATAATCAATCACATGTGATTTATAACTGTGTTTCAAACAAAGGATTTCACTTACTTTAAACTGTGTTATCAAACAAACTACTTTTAAATCGTATTATAAATTGACATCAAGTCATTATTATTTATTGTTCAAAACTGTTTAAATGTATTACAAAATCTCTTTTAAAGTTATATATTGTCAAAAGCATGTCTATATATGTATAGTTATATAAATAATGTTTCAAGGACTTAGGACTGCTAACTCGCTTTATTTCCTTTTCCTTGTTTGGATGTGGACTTAGGGAATCAGTTATTTGTCCGAAGGTCGTCTAAATATTAGATATATATTATGTATACATATGTAGATATAAAAGTACTATCAATCAGTTCAGTACCTTTGGGTAGAAAAGGTATATATTCAATCATTTATTCAATTATAGAAATCACTAGTAAACTATAATAGGTATAGTTTAGGAGAACACTATCATATACAAATACTATAAAAGATAATACTATAATAGAGAATACTATAACAGAGAACACTTTACAGAGCATACTATACATAGCATACTATACAGAGAATACTATACATAGAATACTATTATGATAACAAGTATACTATAACAAGGTTCAGAAACAACATAATGTGAGATACTACTTCATGTCACAGCGACCATTTCGTTGTGTCACGTTTTGTAACCAGAATCTCCTGGAGGGAGAGCGTGAGTTTGCGTATAGATCAATACTGGATTGACTATCCTACACCCTTGATGTTCGTTACAGTAGGATTTGCGAGTCTACGGGTGCCAAATGTCATTTCTTCTGACGTCTTTCATCGTCATGTTATAGTCAGTTTAGTATGGTAACAATCTTATCACATTTTGCCTTAATTAAACCATTGGTTTTAAGGTAGTTATTATTTCAGTAGTTAATACAAATAATACTGCAGAACACATACATGTTCCCATTATATTCAAATTGTGATCTTCTCACATAAATGGTAATATCAACTATATTTTTGGTAATGATAGTCATATTTGGGAAAAGCATTCACTTTTACAGAGAAACAAACAACAAAACAATCGGGTCTTGGTAGAAGACTACTTTTTATACTAGTAGAAAATATAGGATTTTCTAGGAGTTTTCAAACATATACAAACAGTTACATTATACATTTACAAACATTTTTAATCAAACTTATACAGACATTAACACTAAATACTTATGAAATCATCAGCTTAAATGTTGATCCTCTCTTTCAAAATAACTTGTATTCTCAGGTCATCAGTAGACAAGTACCGATGGCAGGTTTTAAGAAGACGGAGCACAGTCAAGACTCGTCTTTTATTTTGGATATTCATTTTTGGTGTCTTATTACTATTTAAAGAACATACTTGTATGAAATTATACTATTAATGCAATGGATGATGTTGTTGCTTATTTACTACTTTGCATTTTTATGATACTATACATCGTCCTCCGCCCCGGAATGTTTCCGTTGTTCAAGTTTTGGGGTGTGACAACAAACATCATACCCGTCTTTATTTAAACTAATCTTCTCTAAGCTCTGTGCTTCTCAATCAACACATACAGAATCATTAAGAGGTGTTAAAAGATTAATATATCATTGTTAGAATGGTTCTAGGACTTAAATATCACCTAGGATTAACTATAAATGAGTAAACATCCCATTGAGCTACTAATTAAGCTCTTAAATCCAAAATATAAATTTAATATTTCAAAGCATTCGTTATGCTAATTAGTTTGAAAAAGTTATGAGCTAATTAGTTTTTTGTGACAAAGTATAAAATGAATGTTGGGGAGGGCATTACACAACATGTTTTCTTAGGATTACGCGACATGTTCCATATAGTAGTTCCTTTTTTTAGTTGTCTTTCTCATTTGACTATCCTACTTTGCATATTTGTGTTCGGTTATTTCCTAAAACTTTTGTACCAATTTTATGATATCTTAAAGAACTTTAGAGGATGTTTTATCATGCCAAAACATTCAACTTATTCGACTAAACCCTTATTACACATCATAAGATCATGGTGTTCCTCAAACTTTAAATGGAGGGTTTGTGAATTTAAATCTCCATAGAACACACTATAATATATATGATTCATTCCAGAGGCATTTAATATCCAAATTAATGCTTCCAAGTGCATATTATCATACCCAAACACATTATAGAGATTTATATGCTCTTAATATAACTATGTAATTACCAATTTAATTTCCAAGTCCTCAAAATTCCCTTATGACTAAACATTCACTAGAATCACATATAATCAAGCATTTTTCATGTTTTGCATACAAATCATTCCCAATGTATCAATTCATGATTTAGAATATCATTTACATATCTAGATGTTGAAATTCACATATTAATTTTCTAATTCATTAATTAAATCCCTAAATCCTTATTTAAGTTATGATTCCCTTATTTCAATATTTTTGTGCATCCACTTTAGATCTATTGCAGAAAGACTATATCTATGATCCTAAAATCATTAAAAAAAATAGCTTAACAACATCATCTTCCTATTTTAATGTTATAGGGTTTATGGACACATTTTTATCTAAACATCAAATTCGTCAAGTGAATGATATATTTAGTTTAGAACCATTAAAACCACCCAAGGAGGATTAGAAACCAAATCCCAGCCATCAATGTAATCTAA